ACGTTCCCAAAATTTACACCTGTCAACAAGTATTTAAATATATACACCAACTGCCAGTATACAAAAATAAGTAAGTTCCGAAAAACAAAAAAAGGGTGAGTGGACCCGAAAAACAAAGTTTAGAAAATACATAAGAACATACTAACCCCACTGTAAAAACGGTTATGCAAAACTAAATCATTCTCTTCATTATATTTGTACTGAAATCAAAGCACACACATATATTTATAAATATATGCCAATCATACTTATGGTCATCTCTTTAAACTCTTAAAAGCACTGAAATCAGTTTAAAACTACCACCTAGGTGCACCCTCTTTAAATCCGTCAATTCCTGATATCCGTTAATTCCCCTCGCATCACCAGTGGTGACACGTCCTCGTAGGTCTCGGTGACACAAAGTCAATCCGAGCTGCAACCTCGCAGGATTCAGGGGACCTTGGTCAACCTGATCCGCGTCCTCGCTCCACACGAGTCCGGGTACCATAGAACTCGTGGGACAACTGTCAAGCATGCTGACTAAACCGAAGGCAACTGATAAAATCCGAAGGCAACCTGGATGTCCGTGGACATCATCATATCCGAAGGCAACATCTGTATATCTGGGTACCTCAGGTGGCTTAGAAAATAACAATAACAATAAGCAAAGTTTTTGAAAGATCTGATAAAGCTGGACTCTGCTGCCATTTATCTGATGTTTAACTAAAATTCTCTTTTCCTATATCTCTAAAGGATATTCCACTCGGCAGCGTGCAAATCATAATATTTAAAAGCATGTCTCACTTATAAAACACTATTCTTTGAATAGAACTTATTCAAGATCAAGTACTGAAACTAAATTGCATAAATTCATTTATGAAAACAAAGAGTCCACTCACTGTTGGTCCGAGCTCGCTGGACCTTTGGAAGGTTCCTCCTGCGGGTCAACTGGTGACCGAGTGCCTGATTCAAATACCAGAATAAAATATATTAATAAAACTGCTCGGTATAAATGTTTAAATAAAACCCTGACCCCCCGCTTCTAGAAGTGCGTGCATCAATTCTACTGATATCGCCTGAAATCGCCTGAAATCGCCTTTCACAAGCTCTGGTTGCTCTCAAAAAAATTTCAAGTACCCTTCTTACCGTCGCTTTGGTCCATTTATAGGACAAACCTAGCATCGGGAAATGAAATGACGCGACTCCTCGTAGCTCTCCGACACGTGTCACACATGCATAGAGAAGCCTAAGAGTCCCAGCATCCAACTTGAACCCTTGGCCCAGCCAAAAGGTAAGATTGTTTACTTGACATGTCCTTTCACATTGTTAATGAAGTTGCTCTTAGTCACTAACTTTAGCATCGAAGGGTCTTCGGCTGACACCACACCGGTGCTTTAGACCTCACCTGCCGTTTCTTTCCTCAAGCCGAATCCAGCACCGCGCCTCGAGAAAGGGAGCCATGGACCGAAGGCTTCTCGTGTCCAAACCATCCACATCACCTGTAAGTTAGCCTTATCTCTATCTGTTTAGTTTTAGCGTGAACAATTGGAAATAGGACGAAGGGAAATTTGGAAAATTGGAAATACGAGGAAAGGAAACTTGGAAAATTGGAAAATTGGAAAACTGGAACACTAGAAAATTGGAAAATTGGAAATAGGAGAAAAGGAAACTTGGAAAATTGGAAATAGGAAAAAAGGAAACTTGGAAAATTGGAAAAATAGAAATAGGAAAAAAGGAAACTTGGAAAATTGGAAAATTGGAAATAGGAAAATAGGAAACTTGGAAAATTGGGAAATTGGAAAAAATGGAAATAGGAAAAAAGGAAACTTGGAAAATTGGAAAATTGGAAAGAGGAAAAAAGGAAACTTGGAAATAGGAAAAAAGAAAAATTGGAAATAGGAAAAAAGGGAAACTTGGAAAATACGAAAATTGGAAATAGGAAAAAGGGAAACTTGCAAAATAGGAAAATAGGAACATTGGAAAATGAAAAATAGGAAACTTGGAAAATTGGAAAATTGGAAAAATGGAAAAATGGAAAATTGGAAGCGAATTGAAATTGAGGAAATGGGAAATAAGAAAATTACCATATTGGACAATTTGTATTAGTTGGTGAATTAGGCAAATTATTTCAATTACATCATTGGAAATTTACCAAATTCGGAAAATCCAAAATAGAAATATATTAACAAAAAGGCAAACTGCCAATGGGGCATTAACTCCCGCCCAAGACTCCCGCCAATCCTTCCTCCCGCCAATTACTCCCCCCAATCCCTCCCGCCAATTACTCTCTGATTTACTCCACATCATTAATGCATGCCTATATTAATCAACCCAGCTGTATGAAGAGATTTTGACCCAAAAAAAAACAGTTGTCTGAAGGGAAAACTTGCATGACATTAACTCCTTGCAGCCATTACCTTCCACACTGATTTCACTCACATTGCATTTAGTCCCACTTTTCTCCAATTAAGACCTACACTAGCCTACAATAAATATCCAAAATCATGGACCACAACCTCACACCAAACCCAACGCTTTCAATTACTGAAGAAAGGGAGACTAAAACACAAGCCAAGTCATCCAATTCACTCACTACAGACTTGGTCCATAGCATGCAGCAATGTCCAACAATGCTTTCAAAAATTGTGAAGGGCCAAGCTAGGTGAGGTGTCATAAAAAAGCACAATTCGCTCTCGTTATCATGCCCGCATGCATCTCCTCCATATAAAGGGTATGAAAGTCAAAATTGAAATTGCCTTGCCACTGCAATTATGGTATTCAAGGAATCTGATGAAATGGCCCAGTTGAAGCAACAACAAGTGGAAACCGGATTTGAACTATTTCGTAAGTTTGCAAAAATAGTCGATCCGTAAGGAAATTGGGACAACATCACTGTGGGCGGGGTCATGAATTTCGTGGGTCGCGGTCGCCGCAATTGAAGAGTATGCAACTTCGAATATGTCAACAGCAGGAAATTTGTGACACTTTAATATGACTTTGGACTGGTTGTAAAATGTAGTGGAAACAACATGTAAAATGGAATCATGTTCATTGGCCTCTTTTTGTATTATGTAACTATGGGGTGGCCTCTTGTTGTATTATGTAAGTTTCAAAATTAGATTTTATGGAATTATGATGCCTCTTTTTGTATTTCTGCGTATACAGTTTATTCGTGTCGAGTTCAATGGAGATATAGAGGCAATAACTCCATAATAAGCATGTGTATAATGGCAATATGATGTCAATAAGAGTACAATAGAGTTACAATACGATCTTATTGCAGTAGGTATTGCATCAGCATGTTTTTTAAAATATCTTAGATGAAAAAATTACAAAAAAGTAAACCAAAATTAAATTAAAAATTGGAAAAGGGATGAAGTATACATTACATCACATCATGTCGTACATTACACACCTTCAATATGGACTCTATATATACAAATCATGCCTTGCATCACCATCACATCCCCCCTAAATTACAGAAACATGACACTACAAAACCTCATGCTTTTTCCTCTTTCAACCCCTAAGTTATCCATCGGATGCCCAATACTAGATGGTTTCTTGGGCAGTGGGATACCCTGCAACTCCAGAGTTGGTAGGGGAGGGCGGTTCCAGAAAGACGCAACTTTGTCTCCAACTTACGGTTAGAGGTTAGCTCCCACCCTCACATGGTGGACTAGGGGGCTCCTCCCTCTACATATTCACAAAATTCAGCTTTTCATTTCGTCGATTGCAACAACTAGACAACCTTTATCATGCATCATACCCCAACTTAATAGGGATGGAGCCATTGGAAGACATATATGTTCATGGAGTTCATGATGCTCAACAACTCATCCATGTCCTTCGAGACATACAAGCATTCATTGCCATTGATCACACCCGGTTACCTGTGAAACTCATTGTCATTGATTCCATTGCTACATTTTTCATATCACAGTATTAGACAACACCGGCAGATTTGAAACTGTGGTCTGAAATGTTCTTCAAGATATCTGGGAAGCCTTTAGCAAATAAGTTTGGATTGGCGGTGGTTGTCACCAACCAAGTGGTGGATTTTATTGGGCCACATGATGGAGTGAATGGGGTGAGGTTAGGAAACTTGGAGTGCCTGCATACATCAGGCAGACGGGTGAGTCTAGCTTTGGGCCTGGCTTGGGCACATTGCATAAATTCAAGGGTGTTCTTGGCAAGACATGAGCAATCTGTTGGGGTTAACAGTCGTAATGCTCCTTCAGCAACTATATCTAGTCAAACATATAGGACATTTGACCTTGTATTTGCCCCCCATTTGCCCCATGTATCTTCTGAATTTGTAATTAGAAAAGAAGGCGTAGTAGGACTATCACGGTAATTGTGTAATAATGGAATTCTAAGATCCTTAATGTTTTGGATCCATTTGGAGTTACATTCCAGGCCCTTTAATTTCGTACTCACAGTTTACATTACAATAACAATACCAGTACAATAAAAGTACAATATAATTACAATTTGAAGGCAATAAAATTACAATATGATACCGATTCTATCGCAATAAATAGGGAACACAGCATGCTGTAAAGCAATGCAACCCAAATTATGCAAATTTAAAATAATTCACATTCAACAAACACGAAACCCACCACAAATAAAATTAAAGTTGACATTACCTAACAAAGCAACAGAAATCATGTTGTCTAAGATACATTGCGCAGTGGAATATTGTTTTTACAGGTGGTTTTATTGTGGCCTGTGGAATCGCACCTTGAGCACTTTCTTGTAATGGTGCCCTTTTCTTGCGAGGGAATTCTTAGCTTCTTCCATCTGACTAGCATGACCTTTGCTATGGGAAGCAGCATAACTCGACTTCGAACATGTTCAGGAATAACCCACATTATGTGAGGCTGTACCGGGTAGATGATATTTGAATAAGCATCCAACCAGGTATTCCGAGTGTAATACCGAGAAGCCTTCGAGTATACATTTAGTTTTAAGAAGCGGCAAACTGCAACTACATGCTTGCAAGGTAGTTGCTCAAGCTAAAACTTTCTACAACTACAACTGTTGTTCGTCAAATCCACGAGGCCGTCCATATCACCATCCAAAGCATTAAACTGTACGTCATTTATTTTAACGACATTCATCCTTGTAGCATCCTCCAACCTATTCCTCAACTTCTCGCCCAAATTGGGGCACAATGTTGTTGTGCAATTCATAGCCAACTGACGACGTTCGATGAACCATTTCACAAGGAGATTAATAATTTCTCCTATCAAATGAACCACTGGCAGCATCCTTGCAAACCCAAGGACTGAGTTTATTGACTCCGCAATATTTGTTGTCATTACATTGTAGCGGCGTCCATCCATGTGAGCTCTAGACCACTTATGTAACCCTGCATGTTCAAGATATTGAGCAACATGTTCCTTTCTCTTGATCTTTCGAAAATGACAATCAAACTTAGGAATGGAATAAGATTTCATAGCCTGCTCAAAGTGCATAAGTATTTGATCATGCTTTTTCAACTTGCAAGTGCGTTTCATGTTCCCTTTCATATGATAAAAGCATATGCCATGTTGCGTTGTTGGAAAAACTTTGTTCCACACATTCTCTATGCTAACATTACGATCAGATATGATAACAAGATTGGGACACTCACCAATGGCTTCAGGAAGTTTAGTGAAAAACCAATGCCATGATGCATCCGTCTCCAAATCCCTGATCCCAAAAGCAAGAGGATATATATTTCGATTGTCATCGAATGCATTTGCTACAAACATAACACCCTTGTACTTGGATTTTAAATGAGTGGCATCCACGACTATCACTAGGAGCATGGAAGAACGAAACCCTTTAATGCATGCGCCAACTTCCATAAATAAATACAGAAAGTGATTGTTCTCATCAATTTTGGATGTGTCTTTGTGTCGGGATTCATACGCTCAATTTAAAGCAATAGGCTGGAAGGATATAATAAGCCTCCTCAGCTGATCCTCTAATGGACAATAAAGCTAACTCCCTTGCTTTCCAAGCTTTTGAATAATAGATGGTGAAATTAAAGTTGTGTTTCATATCTCTCATTATGTCACTTGGTGTGTATATTGTCCGAGAATCCTTCAACTTCCTTTTAAATGAAGTGGCTACAAGTGCTGCGGTTGCTTGACGATGGTCGTCATGTACGAATCTTAAATCACATTCATGGACAGATGTACACCTCACAATCATGAAGTTGTATTCTCCAATTTTCGATGCTTGGACCCGCCATGGGCGTGGACATTAACAACAAACCACAAGCAACCTCTTAGTGCAAGAGATTTGCACCTTAAATTCGAAGTGGCCTCTCAATGCCTTCAACCGTAACTCGGCCAACAATGCTCCCTTACTAGAGAAAATTTGACCAACTATAATTTTTCGGATTCCAATCACTTCGTGAATACCCTATGTCCAAATATGCTTCTCCATAATTTACACCGACCACATTGTACCGGTTCTATTCACCCATTTGACTCAAATAATGTTCACGAATGGGTTTAGATTCTCCTCCTAAATGCATTATTGTCAATTGGGCAAATGTGTTCAAGGGGCCCAAAATAGGAGGGGCAGAGTACACTGACACTTCATTTCTTTCAGTACCATCATCACCACCATGCATCTCCTTCACCTCGCTAAAATCAATCATGTCCATAAAATCTATCCCAACATCACCTCCCACATCAGCGATATTTGTATTATTCCGAGTTACTTCATTGCTTTCAACAATTGCAGCTGAAGAACGACCCATCCGACTACTATCTGTCGTGATATGCGTACTATCAACTACATCATTTGTTAGTCCATTATCTTCTATACTCACGAGTAAGGGAGCTAGTTTTGAAGGTGTTACCTCACAATTGTACTTCATAAAAAATTTGACATCATCATCGTCCTCAATCTTTATGTGCTTCCACTCATTCGAGGCCACCAAAACTGAGAACTTTAAGTAAACCTTGTCTTCCCTGCTGTTTGTATTACCAATCTGATGCACACAATCCAACAGTTCAACAAATGTGATGGTCCGTGGAGCTATTAAGCCTTTTGAGTCACCCCCTTCGTATTTGTACTTCTTCTTTGAGGTTACCCATTTTCTATTGTAGCAAACCAGAATAATAATTGTCTCCATTTCTGACCATGAACAAAATTATTTCATTAACACAATACACCCATAATAACCATGCAATACACTGGCAATATAACAGCAATATAACATCAATATAACCACAATATAATGGCAATATAACAACAATAGCACAACAAAATAACAGGAACACAACAGCAATACAACACTAACACAACAGTGAACAATGATTCATCACAATCACACTATACAAATCCACTACATCAAATGGAAAATCCAAACTTTCAAGATTGACATAACCAGAGCAATCTAAATACAATTGGTAAAAACCTAGATGGATGAGCATGAAGATTCCAAAAACCTAACCCAAAGCAATTACAGCCAAAACCAATTTAACAGAAACCCAAGCAATCAAAATAAAACCATCAACACTACCTATTCGAGGTCAGCGATCTAGTAGAGCTTCAAGGTTGCAAGCAACTATTCAGAAGACATACCTAAAATATGGGGTTGAGGGAGGGGTTCGTGATTCAGAATAGATTGCAAGACAGAGCTGTGTGAGAGAGCAAATAGGGGGAGAGAGAGAGAGCAAAGAGAGAGACAAAGATCTGCACTAGAGCAATGAGAGAGACAGAGAGCCACACTAGATAGAGAGCAAAGAGAGAGACAGAGAGAGAAAAGGGGGCTAAGCGAGTTGAGAGAGAACAAAATTTCTGAAAATGTGATATGTGTGCAATAAATGGACAATAAATATATATTTATAGGTGATAGTGGCAAAAAAAATAGGGAGGGGTGGTATTTTCAGAAAAAATTATAAAAAGGGTGGCATTTTGAGCTATTTCCCTCGTTTTTTTGATTGTCTGCATGTGTTTTTTCTTATCCCTGATTTGTAGCCTTAACTTAGTTTCAATTTGATATAGGGGCTTTCAATAGTTAAAGTGTTTGTTGTTTTGAATGCTTTGTTTTTTTTATTGTCGGCGTGTGTTATTTCTTATCCCTGATTTGTAGTCTTTTGTACTAGGTTGAGTTTGTCTCTTAGTGGAATAGTTGGTGGAAAAGTAAAGACTTTAGAAAGTAAAGGTTTTTTTTTTTGTTGGAATAGGAAGTAAAGGCAGTGGTCCCATGCATGTTTTCACTACCAAAGGCTTTAGGAAGAATAGTGTCCCTATTTATTTGCATAAAGTATTCAATATGCATGGTTTGTATTTTATCTTTTTTCCCCTTTTGCTTTTCTGCTTGAACTGTTCTGTGCAGTGTTCGTTATATCATACACATACAATATTTTTTCCAAGTGAATTCTCAACTTAAACAATGCATCTTTTTTGTTTTGTTCTTATTTGGTCATGCTAAAATTTTCCACATGTTGGGCCACCCCAATTGCTTTATAATGCAGCATTTGATGACATTCCAGATGCATTTTTTGAAGAGGTTTTTAATTATGAGTCACAGTTGACCCAAGGATATGTAGAACAAGTGCCTAATATAGGAACTATAGGAACTGTAGAGGTTCCTGTAGAGCTGGCTGGGAATGTCATCAATGAAGAGGGTAATAAAGAAGAGAGTACTGAAGAAGACACTGATATTAATGATAGAAGAAGAAGATTAGAATTTGATGATGGCGCTGATGAATCAGATAAGGAGATTTATGAGAGTGACAATGATGATGCTCTAGATGACAACAACAAATTTGAAGAGTAGGAAATACTTATCTCCCTAAAGATTTTGTGGCTGCTGATTGTGAAGAAGACAATGATACAAACTCTAAGAAAGGATTTGACTCTCTTAATTACTCTTCGGATGAGGAAGGTGAAAGAAGGAGAAAATTTCCAGGGTTTAGTAAGTCTGATTTGGATAATCCTAAATTCGAGAAGAGAATGTTATTTGGAAGCATGGAAGTCTTGAAAAAGCTGTGAAAAATTGCACGTGGAAAATGCATGCTTCTTTTATGCAACTTGAGCAAACCCTGCAAATCAATTCGTTTATTGATAAGCACATTTGTCATCGAAACCCTACTAACCCATATGTGAACTGTGTGTTCATTGCTCATAAGTACTTAGATCATATCATGGATGAGCCTGATATAAAGTGTAAGCATTTGAGGATGGCAGTGAAGAGGGACTTAGGGTATAATGTGCCTGATAGTCAATGCGCAAGAGCTAAGAACAAGGCCAAGGAGATAATAGAAGAGCAATACTCAAGGTTACGAGAGTATAGTGATGAGGTTAGAGTAACTAATGTTGGAAGCACAATGAAGATAAGGTTGGAGCCTCCTCCACATTTTCAGAGGCTTTATGTATGCCTTGATGCATGCAAAAAGGGCTTTCTTGCTGGTTGCAGACCCATGATTGGAGTAGATGGGTGCCACTTGAAGGGTCCTTTCTTAGGTAAAGCCTAGTTGTTTAAAAATAAATAAAAATTTAGTTGTTTCAATTTCTTTTCCTTCACTTTGTTAGTTGTTAACTTCAAATTTATTTTTCCAGGTCAATTGTTAGCTGCAGTGGGGGTTGATGCTAATGATAACACATATCCCATTCCATATGCTGCAGTGGAGTTGGAAACAAAAGAGACTTAGGGTTGGTTTTTGGAGTTGTTGATTGATGATCTTGGTCCTGTAAGTGACCATGGTTGGATATTTATATCTAATCAACAAATGGTGACTTCATTGTTTGTTACTTTTTATTTTGCTTCATTTTGTTTCAGTTTCTTTAAAGCTTAATAACTTATTGTTTGCGATTATAAGGACTGGATAGAGCATTTGATTTTGTGGTGCCTCAAGCCCAGCATAGATGTTGTGTTAGGCACATGTATGGAAACTTCAAGGACAAGTTCAAGGGCAAGGGCCTAAAGGATCTGTTATGGAGTCCAGCTAGGGCATCAAATAGGTATGAATTTGAGGTTGAAATGAATAAGCTGAAAGATATGAATGGAGCTACATATCATTGGTTGATGTCAAAAGATCTAGATAAGTAGGCCAGACATAAGTTTAGTACTGCCCATAAACGTGACATGTTAAATAACTTGTGTGAAACCTTTAATAGCTATATTTTTATTGCCTGAGATAAACCCATACTAACCATACTAGAAATGATAAGGTGTAACATTATGAAAAGGTTTCAAATGAAGAGGGAAACAATGTCAAAACATGAGGAGGTCATTTGCCCTAAAATTCAAAAGAAGTTGGAGAAGATAAAATATATCTTAGCTAGGACTTGTATGCCAGCTCAAGTTGGACCTTATGAATTTCAAGTAGGAGAATATTTACATGATCAACATGTGGTAAATATAACTGAGATGACATGTTGTTGTAGGAGATGGGATCTTAATGGTATCCCTTGCATTCATGCTGTTTCTGCTATATATCTGTATAGAAGACATCCAGAAGATTATGTTGCCACATGTTATCACAAAGACACTTATTTAAAGGCTTATGAGCCAATAATTCATCCTGTCAAAGGCTTTCACATGTGGCCAAGATCAAACCAAACACCATTGTCACCTCCACTTGTTAGAAAACAACCAGGGAGACCAAGGAGAAGTAGAAAAAAAAGACCATGAGATGTAGAAGACAACTAATGACATATGTGTAAATTTGAGAAGAAAAGGGATTGTTACTTGCATTAGATGTTTTCAAAAAGGCCACCATAAGAAGAATTGTAAGAATCAGCCACAAGACCCTCCACTTGGAACTTATATAGATAAAAGGTGGACAACTGGGTATCCTTCAAAGAAAAATAGAGCTTTTGAAACCAATGCATCTGCCTC